GTGTGTGTGTGTGTGTGTGTGTGTGTGTGTGTGTGTGTGTGTGTGTGTGTGTGTGTGTGTGTGTGTGTGTGTGTGTGTGTGTGTGTGTGAAGGGGGGCAATTTTTTATTGTGATAAAAATTAGATGTGGCCTGGATGTGTTATATACACAGCCAGAGTTGATAATTAAATGGGAGAAGAGCGGAGGCCTGATCGTCTCGGGCAGAGTGACAGGCTGAATATTAGCCCATAGTCACACAGTGATGGGGAGAGAAGCTGAGAACATGATAGGAGGCTATTTGATAAATGTCATTTTTCTCTCAAAGTTTTTTTTAAAGTGACATCAACAAGAGTATGCCTCCCTGACCTTTTTTTTAAAAAAAACATGTAGAGAGAATTTGGACTAATTGACACGCGTGACAAGCCAAATGGATCTAATGGGATTCTGGAAACTGCCTTTTGCCTTTTGGGGAAGACATCCAGCAACGTGTGTCTGTTTAAATACTTGACACCGTCACTCTGTGCTCCAGTCATCATAAACCTTGGCTCGCTTACTGAAATCTAACACAGCCCATGACAATACAATGCAGAAGATTACAGCACACCACCTGTTGCTACTCTGAAACAGTTATGCCCCCCCCCTTTTGAGAGGATTTCAGGAATGCCAGTGTGGAAGGCAGGCTCTGTGTTTAGCGGCAAGACTTTAAGATCACAAGTTTTCTTTTACTATGGGAGCTGACCTACTAAAGCTTTAGGCCCCAGTGATGTTTGAAAAACAATCTGCTCGCTCTCTCAGTCAGTGCAAGCATCCCTCCTTGTCATATTACCCCGCAGGCTGTGGAGCAGGAATGGCTGTGGTGTATCACGGAGAAAGAGAGCTGCGGCATCCAATAGCTGCTCCATCTTCATATCCGTCTGCTGCTGCCTCGTGAAGGTGGAAGGTGACAGAGCAACAATTACCAAAAACATCACACAGACACCCCCCCCCCCTCCCAACCCTGCCATGTGCCCCAGAGGTTGTGTGTGACTCACAGAGGACCCAGCTTGTTTGTTTGATGCTTATGACAAAAGAGCTGACCCCTGACCTTTCAGCTCCGGATGAGTCACCGGCAGCACACTGAAAGTCGGGGCTTCCCCACACTGTGCAGCATTCACAGCAACGGGTAACATTTAAAGGTTGCTACAAAACGCTTTCTTGTGCCATAATCCGTGGGTGACCCCAGCATGCTGACAGGACCGATGGATACAAAAAAACAGGTCAGCTCAGTATTCATCATCCACAGCGAAGAGGTTCTGTTTGATGAAATGTTATAGACTCGAGAAGCTTGTGTACATTAGTTTTTCTGATCAAAATAATAATAATTAGTGACTTCTGATTCGACTGCTTGGAAAAAAATTTATTCAAAGTCATATTGAATTAACAAAAGGCACCTGTTGTGCTGTTATTGACTGTTGTGAGATCTGATCCAAATAACCTTACCACAAACTGTACCTGAGATAACAACTGAAGGTAGTTGCTGAGGTTAGCATCTAGACTGCAAGTACTTTTTCCTTTCCAGTGTTGGAAATTAAGTAAATACATATGATTTCAAAGTTAAGTTTTTTGTATAAACAGTGCACTTTTTACCATGCACTCTATTTTTAAAAAAATATGGCAAAACCTTTATTAATTTTTGCTCGTTAATACGTTTAAAATACACCCATCCTCTTCAGTCACTTTATGCCATACAGTTTGCAGAGAAAGAAACCAGGCAGAAACCAAATTTATTTCAAGTTTACATCACACACTGGGTTAAAACTCCTCATTCTGGCTGATTAACTGAGCTGGCTGGAAGTGCTGCTCACAGTGCTGACGTCTTCACATGGGCAGAGAGACAGACAGGAAGAGACGGGGAGTGAGGGAGGCAGAAAGATGTGGCCTCAGCGTCCAGACTGAAAAGCAACTGATTTGTTTTCTTTAGTGAAGATGTTTGGGCGTGACTCGTGGCACACGTACTCACAGCAGACAGAAAACAGAGTTGTTTTCATTCCACTAAAAGTCTTCGGCTTTTTGTCAGGAGTCTAAACTTTGCTTTAGTCCGCAGTCTGACAGGGCTCTTCCCGGCCACATCTGTTTCTGTGGAGGAGACGCTTTATGCAGTGTGGGTTTAATATTGCATCAGACGGCCACACCGTCATCCCGCTCACTTCTTGGACCTTCACATTTATTGAGAAAATGGCAAAAAAGGGGAGACGGTTTGGTTTTTATCTTCTCCTTTCCGGAACCAAGAGCTAAAGACACATTGCCTGAGCCACTGAAAATTTGGTAAACTTACCCTGAAATCACACCCGTCTCTCAAAGGATGACCTCTTTAAACCCATTGTCATGCAAACAGTTAAAGCACACACACACACACAAACCTTTAAGTTATTCTCCAGAGTTTATTTGAGTTTTTGAGTCAGATCAGAAGTTGCCAAGACAAATAGTCTCCTTGAGTCCGATGGCCAAAGCTGTTTCCAATAACTTGCTGTGAAGTGAAAATGACAGTCTGAGAGAGAAAGAGAGAGAGTGAGGGAGACGCAGACACATCCGCTCAGGTGAGAGTTATTTGTTTTTTGTGTCGGAGCAGAAGTGAAGTGAATGAGTGGAGAGGGTGAGAGGCAGGGAGATAAATGAGTGAAGAGAGATACAGGAGCAGAGGAAGTGATGGAAAAGAAGAGCCAGAAAGCGACAGAGAGTGAAAGCGACTGTTAGTGGGTTGTTGACAGGTGAGCCTGAGGGCAGGCATGACGGGCTGATTCAGGTAAAGCCCCTCTCCCTCCCCCTTCCCACCTTAACCCCAGCCCTCCCTCCCCCCTCCCATCTATCCCCAGCTGGAGACTGCCGATGTGGGATAGCCTACAGGGCTGGGGAGACAGGTCTCCATCAGAAAGCCCCGCAACCCTTTGCAATCACACAATAATCATTTAACTCAGAGTGCCGTGTGTCAACAGGCATGACGGCTGACGAGGCAGACAAACAAGACGACAAACAACAATAACTGCAGCGGCCGTTGCTGAGAAAAACAAATGAGAAAATAGAAAGAGGGGCGAATGAATAAATGAATATCTGTCAGAAGCATTTGGCTTACGGGACGATGGTTTTTTTCAGAAGTCTATGCTCGAGGGCCAAATGTCACTTTGGGTCACTTAGACTGAAGATTCAACAGCACATCTTGTAAACTCAAATCCCGCTGCAGCCGGAGAAGAACACATCTTATGTGATACGTAATTACCGGTAATCTAATTTACACTAATGCTTTAAATTATCCATTACAAATTAAGAGGGTCAGAGTTGTCTCCACTTCTCTTTATGAAAGGCCTTGAAAAAGACTGGCGGTGCGGGTTAATGGCGCAACTGGATTAAGGAGACTAGATTCATACATAATGCAAGCATTTACCTTAATGGGAGAAACGTGACTAGTGAGCCGTGTTTACATTAAAGGAGGGTGAGAGTTCAGCCGAGCTGAGGGAATATTTTTCTGCCTACGCTGGCGGCAGACAGTGTAATGAATTTTTATAAAGCGCACTGCAAATAAAACTAAAGACACACAAAGGAGATTGCATGTTGATGGTTGTCGGGCGATGCTGACAAGGAGAAATGGGTGAGGACGCTGTTGAAACTTGCAGCGGTGCACAGTCTGGAAAGAAAACATCCAGTAGCCTGACGCTGAACTCCAGATCTTAAAAACAAAACAAAACAAAAAACTT